GATCTGGGCGCAGGAGGCACGTCGGGCGCAGAGCAGGGAGCAAGGGCGCAGGCTGGTGCAGGGGCGAGGCTCGGACGTGCAGGGGACCTGGGTTCAGGGCGCAGGGCGCACGGCGCGGGCTGGTTCGGGGCCAAAAAACAAATTTGATGGGGAAAGAGAAGGTTCCAGACACCTTCTTTTTTTCTTCTTTTCTTTTTTTTCTTTTTGTTTTTTTTTTTTGTTTTTGGGTTTGGGTTAAATGGGTATTGGGATTTTGGGCTTGGGTAGTTGGTAGGCTTGGGTTTTGGATTTTGATTTTGGTTTTTTTTTTTTTTGGTTTAAGGCTTAAAATTGAAATGGGTTCGAATTGGGCCATTTAAGATGGGTTTAAGGTGTAAATGGGTTTTGGGTTGAACTTTAATGCATTTCACCCTTCAACTTTTCAGTTCTTCAATGGAGTCCATTTCCTCATCTTCTTTTCCAATCTTCTTCGTAAAATTTCCTTTTTGCTCCTGAACCTAACAAGGAAGACAAAAACAAAACATATTAGTTAAAATAAAAATAAAATTTTATTAAAATTTGAGTTATGACAGTTCCTCAGGGAGAAACTCCGATGTTTAAGTCAGTATTTTTCTAATGAATGTTCTCCTTTTTGTTTCGTCCATTTATCATACCTTTCCTTGTGGGCTTTGTCCATCTTGGCAAGGTACCCACGTGGCTTGTCCGCACCCACGTGGCCTAGTCAACCCAATAATGGTGACATGGTATGCCTGACGGAGTAGACGTTTTAGGTGAATGTAATGTGTCTTGACGGAGCAACTACATTAAATGCGCATGGTGCGTTCTGACGAAGTAGGTCCCTTGAGAAAGGGTACTTAGGTAAGGACAAATGATCAAGTAAGGGCGTGCTTATTGTGACCGCCATGTACTTGCGAGAGAGGGCCGAGGTGTGGTAGACCTTGAGCTCTGTAGTTGAGGTGCGGTAGACTCTAAGCTCTGCCCTGCGTCTCGCGTATAACTGCCCTTACACTATTCCCCCCTTCCCCCCCCCCCCCACTTGTGAATGATAAAGGGAAGATGGGAAGTGTATGGGTAATAAAAATGTATGGCACTAAGTCGAGTTGTGGGCGTGACCAAGTAAGGTGACGTATTCTTTGTGGCCGTAGGCGAGATAGCATTGGCAACACGAAGTCAATACGGTAGAGGCCAAAGTTAATCTGAGATTCGGGCCGGAGCTGAAGTAAAATGGGTGACTTGAGGTCATTGTGGCAGGAGCCGGGAGATAATATTGGTGACACGAGGTCACTATGGCCAAAGCTGAGATAAAATTGGTGACATGGGGTCACTGTGGCCGAAGCCGAGAAAAAATTGGTTACGAGAGGTCATTGTGGCTGGAGCCGAGATAAAAATTGGTGACACGGGGTCACTATGGCCGGAGCCCAGATAAAAATTAGTAACACGGGGTCACTATGGTTGGAGCCGAGATAAAATTAGTGACACAAGGTCACTATGGCCGAAGCCAAGATAAAATTGGTAACATGGGGTTACTATGGCTGGAGCCGAGATAAAATTGGTGACTTGATAATTTTTGTGAGAATATAGATGAAAGGGTTCATAATGGGCCTAAAATGGGCCTATTTATGAAATCCCAAAGCCGGTTAATGCAGCAAACGACAGCTATCATGGAAGACATGCAGTAACAAATATCGTCTACAAAAAGTAACTGTCACATTCGAAGGAACGCGACGGTAAATTAAACGGCGAATTTGAAAGGGCAGGGTTGTGACGGTTTAATGAAATTAATCGTGACCATCAAGATGTGTTTTTGCCGTGATATATATATCCACAGTTATCACAAAAATCCAACTCATTTTGCTGTTAGCTTTGCAAAAAGTCACTGCTTTGCCTACATTCTACATTGTTCGTCCCTTGTCAGCAGAAACTAGGTAATTTGTGAGCGTCTTATTTGTACCTTTCTTTGTTGTGAGAATGTCTTCTGAAGAGACGATTAGTGATGACAGAGTGAAGAGGAGGGTTGAGGAGGTAGAGGGGAGGGATTTAGGGGTGTCGTTGAATATTTTCGAGAGAGAGGATGAAAGGGAGGAGTGTTTCAACCTCGAGGAAGAGATTGTTTGTGAGGTGGTGGTGTATGAAACGTCTTTGGAAAATAGGGGTGGTTTGGCCCACTTAGTTGAGAACTACGGGGTGCTTGGGCATGTGTTGGTAAGGTTGGCGGGGAAGAGAGAGAGAGCTTGTTCGGCTCCGGGGGACCATTGGATGCCCCTGTATTCCCATTACCTAGCGGCTGGGTTGCGGTTCCCCATCCCAAACCTATTGGTGTGGTTGTTGATGGAATATGGTTTAGGGTTAACGTAGCTCACCCCCAACACTGTGAGGTTAGTAGTAGCCTTTGTAGTGTATGGTCGAAGTTGGGGGGTGGCGTTTCCAACTACTAGTGTGTTTAAGTATTTTTATGTTTTGAATGCTGAGAGTGGTAAAGAGAAGGGGTGGTATTATATTACGGGTCGAGTGGTTAATAAGAAGAGAAGGGGTTTATTTAATGCTGGGCCATCTTTCATCAAAGGATGGAAAGATAAATTCTTTTTTGCGGATGACACGGAGTGGGATAAAACTAATGCTGAGGTGGAGCACTTGAGCCGATGGAAGGCGAAAGGGTTAAACCTCAATGAGTATAGCCTAACCCCAGGGGAGTTAGAAGATGTGAGGATGTTGGAAAGGGGGGATTAAGGCCTACTTGATGTTATGGAGTACACAAACCAGAGAATGTTAGACGCGGCTGAAATATATGGGCTGACCTCACAGAGTGGAGGTGTGTAATTTTAGTCGTTTGTTTAATTGGAAAATTCTGATCAAAGTTTTAACCTTGTTTTGTCTTGCAGGAGAAATGAACAAGTTTCTAGAAGCAGCTTGTGGGGTTGGCATCCCTAAGAAGGGAAGAGGGAAGAGGGCCGAGGTCAAAAGGCAGGTTAAGGAGGTCTCACTGCCTCAGGCTGAAGTGCAAACTTTAGTTGTTTCTCAGCCCAGCAATGTTGAGGATGAAGTGACAGTTGCGAAGGAGGGGCCCATTGTTGCAAAAAGGAAAAGGATGGAGCAACAAGAGGCTATGGATGAGGTATCAGAACCTGTGACTTCATCCCTTCGTATAGAGAAGACTTCCTCAACCACAGCTGCTGACTTGGTGGCTGCACTCCGGGAGCAAGGGTATATTCGCCTACAAACAACGAGCTTCTATGATTCTGGGATGAGGAGCACAGCAAAAAGGTTCATCAATGCCTATTTCCCGGAGGTGGATCGCCAGCGTGCCAAGGATGAGGTGGCGGCCAAAGGTTTAGTTGGCATCGTACGTTAGACGCTTGAGGTATGATACTGTCATTTTGTTTAAAGCTTGAGGAGAGAAATCTTGTTAACTGTTTGATGACCTAGGTTTATTCCATTGTGTAGGCTATGAACCTCGTGAATGCATTGGCGAATGAGCATCACGAGAGTCTGAGGGAGCGAACTCAAATGAGGAAGGATAATGCCGAGCTCATCAAGAAGAACGAGGCTGTTGAGGCCGAGGTGGCAAAGCTGAAGGCGGAGATGGAGGAACTTCGAAGGGAGAATGCCACTCTGAAAAAGGACTCAGAGCTCTCGTATCAAAAAAGAAAGATCTACGAAGACGAGCTCGAGAAGAAAGAAAAAGAGTTGGACGTGGTGGCGAAGGCAGCAGTTGAGTTGAAGCTTAAGGTTAACAACTCTGTTGAAGAGCATGTGGAAGGGTTTTTGAAGTCTAGCACTTTTGAGGATATTGTCAACCTCTACCGGCTCCCTACAGCAATTGTGGCCTTCTCTGACTGTCGGAAAAAGGTGAAGTTGCAATATCCTGATGTAGATGTGACAAAGCTCACATTTGGAGATCAGGTGGGAGAAGTGGAGGAAAATGGGGAGAGTAGTACTGCTGATTTTCGTCCTGAAGTTACGCTGAAGTGGGATAGAGATAGCAGAGGTCAAACCATTTTGCCGTCGAAGTTCAGTTTTAAGTTCGTAGCGGTGAATGACGAGGGATCCGAAGGTGCTAACAACTCAAATCAACCTGTTGACTAAACTTTGCATTTTGTTTTTTATAAGGAATTGTTTGTAAACATTTGTATTTAATAAATTCAATTTGATATTTTATTACGTTTATTATTTTTGTTATAATTTGAACTGGGAGAGGTTAAAATGACTTGCTAAGTTAACCAAGATTGGAGAAATGAAATTGACTTCATCTTTAATTGTATTAGAACATTAGTTGTTACAAAAAGATGCCTAATACAGATAGTAAAGTGGGGAACTTTCAAGGGTGGAATTTCTTAAGGTTGTTAACATTCCAAACCCTAGGCACTCTCTTGCCTTCAGAATCTTGGAGAATGTATGCATCGGGGTGTGGGATCTCAGTTGCAATGTAAGGGCCTTCCCAATTTGGTGCTAGCTTGCCATAGCGAGTCTCAAACCCTCTGAGCCCAGCCTTTCTGAGGACTAGGTCACCGACTCTAAAGTTTCGAGGTCGAACCCATTTATTGTAAAGGCTAGCTATTCTCTATTTGTCTACAAGCGTTAGAAGTCGGGATTGTTCTCGGACTTCGTCTAGGAAATCAAGGTTTTCTCTAAGTGAACTCTCATTTTGAGCTGGTTCAAAATGGCTGACCCTTAGGCTCGAGACACTAATTTCGACAAGAATAACTGCCTCGATGCCGAAGGCCAAGTGATAGGGTGTTTCGCTTATTTGCAGGAGACTATAATTTTAGGATTTGCTTTAAAGGGCAATTTATAACTTTGAATAAAGTAATGAAAGAGGGAATTAAAGTGAGAGACGTACCTGTGGCAATTCAGCTCATCGTCTGGTAGGCCCATAAGACGTTGTTGAGTTCATCTACCCATTTTGCTTTCAGCTGATCTAACCTCGACTTGATTCCCTCCAAGATGGCTTTGTTAACTGATTCAACCATTCCATTCGCCTCGAGATGATAAATAGAAGTGAACACCAATTTAATCCCATTGCTGGAGCAGAAACCCTTAAAGGAGTTACAAGTGAACTGGGGACCATTATCAGCAATAACCTGGTTCGATATCCCGTATCTGCAAATAACTGAGCTAAAGAGAAAGTCCTCAATTCTTCTTGAAGTCAAAAAAGAGAGAGGTTGGGCTTCCACCCACTTAGTGAAGTAATCAACAGCAACCACTAAGTGCGTTGATCCCTTTATTGCTTTGACAAAAGGGCCCAGGAGGTTTATTCCCCATTGAGCAAAAGGCCAGGGTGCAACCATGCTGGTGAGTTCTTTAGCTGGTTGATGAGTAAGATGGGCGAAGAACTGACATTTTTGACACCTCTGCACAAATTGCTTTGCATTCTCTTGCATGTTGGGCCAATAGTATCCTTGCCAAAGTACCTTATGGCTAGAGTCCAAGCTCTTACGTGACTCCCACATACTCCCTTATGTACTTCTCTTAGTGCATACTCAGCTTCATATGGCATTAGGCACCTGAGGAGAGGTAATGAATATGATCTCTTGTACAAAACATCACCAACCAGGGTGTACCAAGAGGCTTTTCTTTGCAGTTTCATCTCTTCCTGTTTGTCCCCTGGGACGGTTCCATTGAAGAGGTATGCTCAGATGGGGTTTGTCCAACTGGGAGCTTCTGGATCAGTGTTGATTTCCATCACCCTTGACGTCCGAAAGCTTGGTTCATTTAGTATCTCAATGTACACAGATTTCACCTCCCCCAAGTTTTCAGATGCTAATTTAGCTAAAGAGTCTGCATGCTCATTCTCTGCTCTTGGGATTTTTGTAAGCTGGAATTTCTCAAAGTGATTTTTCAGCTCAGAAACTATGGTCACATACTTTGCCAGAGTGGGATCAGTGACTTCGCACATAGAATAGAATTGATTTGCTGAAAAAACCTTCAAACTCTTCCTTCAGTGTGATTCCTCTCCAAGTGGTCCTGCAAAATCCTGAGGTTGTTCCTCGGGGAGAAACTCCGATGCTTAAGTCAGTATTTTTTTCTAATGAATGTTCTCCTTTTTGTTTTGTCTATTTATCGTACCTTTCCTTGTGGGCTTTGTCCAGCTTGTCCGCACCCACGTGGCTTGTCTGCACCCATGTGACCTAGTCAACCCAATAATGGTGACATGGTATGCCTGACGAAGTAGACGTTTTAGGTGAATGTAACGTGCCTTAACGGAGCAACTGCAATAAATGCGCATGGTGCGTTTTGACGCAGCAGGTCCCTTGAGAAAGGGTACTTAGGTAAGGACAAATGATCAGGTAAGGGCGTGCTTATTGTGACCGCCATGTACTTGCGAGAGAGAGTCGAGGTGTGGTAGACCCTGAGCTCTACAACCGAGGTGCGGTAGACCTTGAGCTTTGCCCTGCGTCTCGTGTATAACTACCCTTACACCATGGGATTTGAAAAAAAAAATTAATTATTATTATTATTATTAAAATTTTAAATATTATATTTTTAATTATTAAAATACATAAAATAAAAAAAATTCAA